CCCTTCACCACCACCCACCACCACCACCACAATCGCCCATACATCACCACCGTACACTACTACCATTAATTTATATAGCAATCTACAGACATTAAAAAACAAACAGTCTTCTTCTTGCAGACCGCAGACCTTCGGTCCACCACTTCTCCTGCAGATGTCTACAGTAGTGGTCCGCAGACTGCAGACCTTTTCTTGCAGAAAAAACAAACACCCCCTTATTCTACATCCAAAATAAACTCATACACATTGGGCTTGTTTGAGATTAGTGTTAACATTTTAAATAATTTTCACGGTGCAGATTAATTTAAAAATGCTAACACTAAACGTTGCCTGTAGATAGTCTTTTCAAAACGCTTATGCTAATCTCTAATGTTATTCCCAAAGAGACTCATTATATGTTCCACAAACGCCATACAATTCCAAGAATATAAAAGCAAGTTATTCGTCACTAACCATGTGAAGACTCATTTCCAAACATCCACTAATCTTGTACACTAATTAAATGTTGCATGCAATATTTTGTCACATATTTTGTTACAACAGAAGTTGAATGTAGTTCAGCGATCTTGTACAGTTCTGAGTTAGATCTGAGTTGCTATCCGGATCGGGGTTGAACAAAAACGGATGTCGTCCTGGCTGGCACTGTGAAGCAGCCAGAGGAAGGATCATATGTTGACTTCTTTACCATTGCATCATTTGAGCTCATCTGTACATGAATAAGGATTCACATCTTAAAAACACAACACCTGCTATGGAATTGTTTGTTGATATTCAAAGACTAATATACTCCGTATAAGAATATGAGTTAGAGCATGTTCTTTTCAACTCATTCTTATTAGAATCAGTTCAGATCAGACCAGATGATTAGAAACAACTTTAAATATAATTAGATTCAAATCAAATCAGACGAGATCAGAACTTATTCCAATCAGATCAGAATCATTCAAATTAGGTGAAGAGAAGAAGCCCGTACTCATGCTAGTTGGTTTTAGGCTGAAATCTTGTAATTCTGCGTGGTATCAGAGCCAAGGTTTATATGATAAACAAAGCTAAGGTCTTTTCACAGAAGTAATAACTTGAGACAAAAAAGTGAAAAACTCAAGTTGCACTTGATAGAATGCTGAGGATAGTCTCATGTCGTACACCCAGACTAAAAAAAGACTAATATATAAAAATATGAGTTACTTCTCTCATTGCTAAATGGTTTTGGATCAGAATCTCACAATTTTACACAAGTGTCAATAAAGGTTAAAATAATTTTTCATGTACATGCAGATTTCAGAACACGGAATGTTCAAACCACAAATCAGAGAGGAATGATAATACAGCAATACCTGTATGGGATGCAGCCGAAGAGACTTAGAGGACAAGGCAGGGATAGTACATGAGACTTTCACTGGGCACGCGTTGACGAGGACGACTATATATGAGTATCTGTTGCAAGCATTGGCACTGTTCAGCAGTAATTCAGCAAAGTAGAAGAGAAGAAACGGAAGTGATTATTTTACACACGTGGGATCGAGTTGAGTAAGCCCTGGAAATCCTTCATATCCATCCTCAAGGCTCATTACTATGACACCTGGAGTCCATGATGGACCAACATTATGAAACCGCACTCTTTCCTGAGAACCATATGTTAAATTGCAAGTCAATGTTGATGGCTTATAAAAATAATAAAGCATAAATATCTCAAAAATAGATTTTGAGCTCGTTCAGTAAACCCTTTTTTTAACCTACCAACCCGATTGGCTTTCACCAAACTGTTGGTTGAATTGGAAGATGATGAAACTAGTGCACAGGTAAAGAAAATGACATCTAAACCCCCATTTTCAAATACAAAATATTATTTTTATTTAATTGATTTAAAAGTAACTTGGAACTACAGTTTTTCTTAGATAATTCTGCCAATTCCACCATGACTTGAGCATATTCAGTAAGTTCAATGACTTTAACCAATTCAGATCTTACCAAATGGGATGTTCATCTCTAAGATCATGGTAAAAACATATAACTGTATTACCTAACAGATGCATGGATGCATCTCACCTGAATAGCATTTGCTGTCCTCAGGCGAAAAAGCGGAGAGGAGTATCTGATTTGTAAAAGATTACAGAAGTTTTCCAGCGCAGCAATGATATGACTCTTTTGAGGCTTGAAAGAAGGATTGGCCAATCTAGATTTCATTCTGGATTAAAAACAGAGATGAAATGAACATCAAGTAAAATAGATTTTAAAGACGGAATCTCAAGAAAAAAACATTTTGCATAAGAACTTTTACAAAACAAACTAACAGTGGCCAGTTCTGCTCATTTTTCTCTTTTGGGGGTAGACCAACACCCCAGTTGTTAGAATTGTAGTTGAAGTCTAGCCTGAAATGTTACAACAAAGGCTTTTTCAATAACTAGAAAATATAAGTGATCATAACAGGTTAGCAGAATAACAAAAAAACATCATTTTAAAGGTTAGATACCACAAATACAAAAGTGTGATGGAGAAAATCAGTTATGACCTATTAAACCAATCACCGGAGTTGTAAGAGTCACGATCAAGTGATTTTGATCGCAGAATCTCATCGCCAGAGTGGAAGAAAGGTATGCCCTGTGGAAGAAATAAGTATACGTTTACTTAAGTAGTGCAATTCGATGTTTTTAAAATACCGGGTAGAAGAATAAAAATCTGTCATTTTCTCCACTTTTCTCCTGTTCAGAAATATGCATGGAAGTGTCTACAGCTACTGGCAATAGAATAAGTGGTGTTGGTGTTGGAAACATTCAAAGAAGAAACAAGGCAGAGTATATAAAAATAGCATGAACAGAGAAAATCGAACCTGCGAAAGGGCTATCACACTGGTTGCTAGATGGTTCATCCTGCATCTCTCCTCTACAGAAATATGCATGGATGTCTGTACAGCCAATGGAAATAATATAAGTGAAGTTAAGAAAAAAAGAAAATTACAAGGATAGCCCAAAAAGTCTCTGTTAACTACCTTCAAGCTTAGAATGTCAAAAAGAGTCTCATTGTCATGGGCAGACACATAATTTATCTGCAGTGAACAAAAATGTCCAAGGTGAATAGTTATTGAATAAAACATCATAAAGTCTAACAAGACTCTGATGATATAGCAGAAGTAATTAAGAAAATTAATCATCTTCAGTGCGCAAATGGAGTTGGGTGGAAAGAGCTCTATATTCTTTTTGTACAATACAAAATAACATGGGCTGATATCACAGCAAAATATCTTACAGTTTCAATTGGGCAAGAAGCATAGGCGATGGGCTTTCCATCGTGAGTTAGAATCTCAGATCCTTTAGCCTGCACAAAAAGGAAAAAACATAACCTGACATTAATATTGGCTCCATTACATGAAATACTGTTACCTACTTCAGTAGGAAATTCCCTATCACGAGACTAAAAGTCTTAGATTGAAAAGTTCTTTGTCAGAAAAAATGAAAGAGCGAAATGATATCTTTTGAGGTCAATAAAGACACAACTATAGAGTACTCTTGCCTCCATTGGGATGAACTTTTATCGTCAAAACCAATTGAAGGATTGTTACTCTATTGAAATGATTTCTCACCTAACACAGTCAAGGAAGATTAGCTTCCTGTGGATAGTTCTAAAGGAGAAATAATTATGTTCCACAAGTGAAGAACACAATTTTTCACTTTCTGGAGAATGTACTTGTAATTCGGTGAGCACTTGAATAATAAAAACCCTAGTTGCAAAGTGGATTAGGTCAGCCGACCAAACCACTATAAATCTTGTGTTCCGTTTTTCTCCGTTTTGATTTCTGTTGTGTGTGTTCTTGTTTGGTTGTGGTTTGCTATTCAGTATTCTTAGATACCCTAACAACATGTAAAAAATATAGACAAATTTGAGCACTCCATGAATGAATACCTCTTCCCCATCATGGTTTACTAGCACAAAATCCTTTAAGTTCCCAGCCATTCCAAGCTGAAATAAAGTAGTTAGTATAATTAAAGTTTGAAAGATCAAGAAAAATTGTAAGATTTCAAGATTTGAAACTTGTCATCCAAGAATACCGAGACATCAGGAATTGATGAACGTCTAAACATCATATAAATATATTGGAAACATTCGGGATGTTATTGATAATAAACACTAAGACACCTGAATGTGGTCCTTTAGTACAGCAAGGGTATGCTCAGCAGCATCACCACCACCAAGATCATGGTCATTGGGCTGGAAGTGATTGTGAGTAAGGTGCATTAAAATTTAAATCAATATTTTTTTTGTACACATATCATTGAAGGCGTCTAAAATATATTACCTCTACAAACAGGCCAGAAGCAAAACCTTGTTGCAAAGGGTGACCAAATGGGGATCCACCAAGTAATGCATCCCGAATCCGATCATTGAAGCTGTTAAACATTTAATAAGGGTCAGAATCATATACTCAGACAGCTGTCCTTCATTATAAAAAGCACAAGTCAATACCCAAGCTTAACATGTAATTTATAAAGTAAGAATGCTCCTAAACAAGTTTCAATCTCTTTAAACCCAAAGATTATGTGGATTAGCATGCGCTAGAAAAGGGACTTGGTACAAGGGGCATAGAATGACTAAGATATAATGATATACTCCCTCCAATTTTTATAGAATGACTAAGATATAATGATATACTCCCTCCCTCCCACTGTTTTTCTCACATTTTACCTTTTTTTGTCCGTCCCACTATTTTTATTCCATTCCATATTTAGTCATATTTGTGTGGTTCACAATCACTCTTACTATATCTTACGGAGTACTTTTTAACATTAATATCAACCACACAAACTTAACTTTCTTAATACCCGTGCCACTCCCCCATGTCCCAAAAAATAGTGAGAAAGGGAATAGGTTTTAATTTCCAACCCCTTCCCTCCATCAAAACTTGATCCTTAGATAATCAATTGGGTACTTCCATTTACTTGCCTAAATAGAAATACCATATGCAGTTTTTTTTGCAGGGAAAAAGAAAAAACATAGCCAAACAGGACTATAAGTATCACCTCCCGATTCCAGTTCCATAAAGGTTAAACTGTGATGCATTTATGCCACGCCCATTACTTGCAACTTCACCAAAGTCCCACCCTTCACCATATCTAAAAGATCATATTAGATCAATGCAATGTTAAATAAGGGAAATAAAATTGCATGTTAAAATTTAAGACAGATATCATCCCATGATAGTCATAATTGTTACTCCCTCTGTCCCATAAAAAAGGCCTTGTTTCACCAAGGTATAATTTTTCAATTTTAATAAGGCAAAACTTTTGGAAATCATCACCTCTGGCTATATTTTTAACTTATTTGTTGGTTTAAATAGAAATTCAATACATTTTACTTGTTTGGGATACTTCATATTATTATTGAAAAGCATTTGATATAATGACAAATAACTTTTTTGCTCAAGTAGGATTCATTTTTTGGGACGAATGAGACTCTTCTAATAAGACTCTTCTAAGGACGGAGGAGTATTTGATACTATCACATATTTGAAAAGCAAAAGCTAAACAAGAATGCAACAAAAATGAAGGTACTGCTATAAAAGCGATAATCTTTACAAGAAAATTTTTGATCCATCTACTCCACTCTTCTCCATAGTTAAGCTATGGAGCAGTGTCTTTGCATTCACCTGCAACCCACATAAAAAAACCAAACGTTTGCAGTATGTCAGAGAAGTAAATTGCATTCAAATTATTTGGGCAAAGCAAATCCTTAGTCATTGCAAGGTTTTAGTTAAATAGTTAACGGTAAAGGCCAGTTTAGTAAATTGTATTATTAAAATGTTTCAAGGAGAAGTAAAAACAAGTAATCACGTAGACATTAAACTTGCTTGAGGCTTAACAAGGTAGAAAATTAATAGAAACAGTTGGGAAGGATTATAAACTATTGTCGCTTCCAGCAGAATTTTTAAGCATTTCTTAACACTTCTATCGTCACAGTTTCACTTTTTCTTGATCTCTGTGAAAAAGAAAACGGAAAGTTTGATTTGGGACAGAGGGAGTACTGTATTTACAAATATTAATGGCTAACACTTTCACAAAAAAGGAAATAAGAAAATTGCATACCATAGTTTTTTTCATTAAATGACCCATAAGATCAAACCGAAATCCATCAACCTGACCAGTAAACATCATTACAAATGAATTAGTACTTAAAGCTAGCAGAATGCTGCAATAAATAACAACGGTCTCTGATAAAAAATTTGGTCATAAGTCTAGTGAAAGCATGACATGAGTTGAAACTTGAAAGACAGACAACAACCCCTACGAAAACAGAGAGGTTGTTTCTGTTAGACCCTAGATGCATTACTGCATTTACTGCCTAAAACTTCACAAAAAGTAAGATGCAAGGGAAGTTTAATGTTCTATTTTAATTTAGTGCATTTGGTGCCCAAAACTAAAAGAATGTCAATAATTACTCTTTTAGCTCCATTGGCAATGGACGGAGTTGAAAGACCGACAATGGAAGTAAATGCAAGAGACTAATGCAACAGTCACACACGCTCACACTCTCACTCTCACACATTTCCTCCCTAGTCCCTCCCCCAGAAATTTAGGTTGGCGAGAATACTTAATATACCTATGGATCTTCAATAGACTAGTAGAGTACATATCATTATCTTAAAAGGTTACCCACAAATTCAAAAAACTTCCATAAAAATGTTAACTCAAATGAATTACCAAACTTGTCAAGCATCCTACTGTTGATAGTTTCTGGAGGAGCAACTTATATAATGGTTTCAAGTCAATCAGAAGACAAGTATCACCTTATACTGAACAGCCCAGCACATAAGATCATCAAGAATTAAACGTTCAACCATGAAATGCTCACTGGCAGTGTTGTTTACACAGGTGCTGTTCTCAATACGGCCATCACTGTTCCTTCTCAGATAATAACCTGGAACAATCTGCGGATATTGAGCAACTTAGAGTAAAAAAAGTACAAGCGGATGAATTTTTTGAGCACATTTAAACAACACGGTTTACTAAAACATCTTTTAAATTCAAACACAGAGGAAGGATGAAAAGGGAAAATCTACACATTGAAGTATGCACCTTGTCCAGAACAGAGTTTTCATCACAATGGCCACTTGCATGCAAATGATTGTAAACAACATCGAGTACAACACGGAGGCCAATGTGGTTAAGTGCCTGAAAATAAAAATGTGTAAATACTATGTAGTAAATAGAAAGTTTAATGCAAAGAAATTATCTCATTACATATCTTTTTTATCCGTCCGATCATGTTGTGATTTTTATAATAATTTTACAAATATAAATCTTGTAATGAGTCACGCCTATAGCATCTATCTCAACTCATTGACGGTTCAAATTTTTTTCATTTTTATCACATGAAGATGTGGTTTTTTGAACTTTATCTTCTTACGCCTTTATACGAAGGTTGCCACTTTGACAAAAAAAAGGTTGCCACTTGAAGGATATCTGCTGTAAAACTTTGCCAATATGTTTTTTCCACAATCTTGTGATAATAACTAATTTTAGATGATTTTTTCATCAAGATTTACTCATTTACCTGCACCATCTTGCGGAACTCAATGATGCGACATGAGCCATTTGGGTCACTAGCATAGCTTCCCTTTGGCACACCCCAGAGAACAGGGTTATATCTTTCTTAGACATAGAACAGAAAATAGTTCAAAATTTAGCCATCAGTAATGATTAAAAAAAATTATATCATAAGCAGATTGCAGATCAATGGCTTACCCCCAATTATACCCATCTTCATTTTGGATGGTTGAGATAAGAGCTTGTTGTTCATCAGAATCTGGTGGCAATGATTTCAGCTTTGCAGTATCTGTTAATGGGTTTCACACAAAATGTGGTGAAACAGAAGATTTCAATTTTAAAAAACCAAAGCAACTAAACAAGTACACAAATGAAAAATGGAATTTTGCTAACCAATTTATACATATCGAACTTCATGAAAAATGGAACATTTCAGGACTCATCCCTACCAAAAGATACATCAAAAATGAGTGTGAATCACACTTGCATCTAGAGCCTAGAGAGACACTAGCAAGTGCATCGACAATTACAAGACTCATGAAAGTTTAAGTATTGTTTTCCCAAAACAGCGGTGCTTGTGCACCATATCAGTTTGATTTATTTGTTAAAAGTTCACATGTAGGCATTCAGGCAAAACAAACACCGTAATTCAAATAGACCCCCCATTCAGGTCCAGAAAGAATAAAAATTGCTCAATTACCTGCATGCTTCCATTTATGTTTTTCGTCACCAACACCAGCAAAATGAAAGGTCGGAAGCAGATGGATATGCGTGATACCAGCGCTAGACAATTTCTTAAGATGAAGGACACCAGCTGAATCCTTCAATACAGTTGCAAGTCATGGAGTATAAACAATGGGTCATCAGAAGAAAATGGATAACTTATTACTCTGTATATTAGTTGACCGAAAGATAGAAAAATACATCCCACAAATTTATCCCATACACATATAAGTTAGGTATATATACTACTATCAGGAAAACCATTTTCATATTTGAAAATAAATACGGAGTAGCTTGTAAGGGAAAATTACCTGCAAGGTGAAAGCAAGATAACCACCGCAAAAATCAGGATGCACCGTATGGTCATTGGCACTAGATATAGAAGAATGATAAACCAATTACTCCAGATCATTAATATCAATTAAGATAAAGTGTGCAGCTTAGTAAGATATGCTAGTAAAAGCTGTATTCTAACTAATGCTCATATGTTTAGAAGATCGTGTTGAAGGAGGAAAAGAGAAAACAACTGTCAAGTTGGATAACTCATAACTCATGCCTATGATTAGTCCCTAACCACTTCATAACTAGCTTTTTTTGGATACCACGGATAATATAATTAACTACGTAGTTTAGAAATTTAAAAGAATTTTATAATAGAAAATTCCTTCAGAAAAAACTCAAGCCGTGCTTTACTTTTTGAAAGACTTCAAAAAAAGAATTTCATAATTAATTAAATGATCCTTACAATCACCTAAAATCTCTTATGTGCAGTTCGTAGATACTGATGTCAGCCACAGAAAGCAGATCTGGTTTCCCGTGCCCCAGATTGTCCCATCCTTCAGGCTTTAAATCATCACAATCAAGATCAACCAACAACGTTCGCCTTCCATCACAAGAAAGACTGCACAGAGCAATAGATAACATAAGAAATTTGATAAAATACTGCTATAGCGATCTACCTCTGGTCCTTCAATTTAATTGGTTGTAGCATACAATAAATGACGATTAATGAGGGTAATATTGGTTATTGGTAGCACAAGACGTGCTTCATTACTTTTATTGGTTTGTGTAATTCTTTTCATGGCCGGTGTGTGTGTGCGTGCACGCTGTGCGTGTATGTGTGTGGTTGGTACACAAAGAGTCCAGACTACCCTCTTGAGTATGGATCGCAAGTTAATGATGTCTCAATCTGGGAGGTGGTAGGATGATAGACAGACACTTCATATGCATAGTAATAACCCTCCCAATGCCTTGGGAGTGTAGCAGTCCAAACATCATTTGCCTCCTTGAGCTCAACTATGTCAAAAGGATCACCATTCAATGGGTTGTTATAAATGAAAGCACGCACAACCTACATTGGAACAACCATATTCGGGGTAAAGCACTGCTAAAAAGTAAAGAACTGATAGAAGCATAGTGAGGAACTTGAAAAAAAATTCACAAAGGTGAATAGCCTGTACTGTTGCAGTCGGTGCCCAGAGGTAAAGAGAAATGGCTTCACTTGAAAAAACAGCTCCAAGTGGACCAGTGTAGGAGAAAAGTTCGTCAATGATTCCAGGTAGCTGCAACCCAGTAGCGCTCTTGCAGTTACCATCAGCTACACGAGTATAACTTGTCAAACATTAAGCAGTAGGTGATGATGCAAATAAATAAAGAGATAAAGTTTACTCCTTACGGGTGAAGATAGCAACAGCCAATTGGCATTTGAGTAGATTTTCACAATCCAAAGGTTGAGGGACTTTGAATGTTTTATAATCTTGGATATGGGGAAATTTTTTAGTTACCTGGGCTTTTAGGAAAGAGATGAGTAAATTCCATAGTTGAAATCTAGAAGTTCATATAATAAGGATCTAATGCCAAAATCCATCCATAATGACTAATGATGAAATGTTTTAGCCACAAGCCTCAAAATGGATTAGGAATTTAGGATCTCACATATTGTGGAAGCCTGTCCTCTCCTTCCTTGAGCTTAATTTTACAATCAAACCCTGTGATGCAAAGAAACATCAAAACTGGGGTTACAATCAGTTTCATGAGATAGATGCAGCATCGAAGAACAGCATACCTCGGATTGCATCATTGGTAACGGATAAGTTAGCATTTCTGCTAGCATAAAGGTAACATGCACCATCCTCAACATCCACATTCCAAGCAATTATCGATCTGCTTACCCAGAATGCTCTACAGTGCAACAACATACTCTGCAACCAAAAAACATTCAATAAATTTGAGGGCACTTACGTGCATATTATGCTCGAAATGAAATAAGACTCCAAACCCAGCAAGTAAACAAATGCCAAGCCACTTGGATATTTCAATTTCCTCAATCATTTATCCAGCTCAATTGTTAGAACAAATGATTCTACAACCTAGAATGTTGGAAGGTTGAAGCTGCAAGCTTCACTACAGTGCCATTAGCTTACACCTTCATTGACCCCAATGTTCAATGATGTGAATAAAATTGAAATGCTAAAGAAGAAGAAAAACAGAAATGCGAGCTCTGATGCGGATTGAATCTCCTCTTTGCATACCTCGGAATGCAATGAAGTAGCTGCCACGCCTTGGAGAGGCATGTTTGAGCAGAGCAGATGAAACCGCCTAAGACGGGCCCGGAATTTGAGAACTGAGTCGGTGCCGAACCGCAGCGAAGGGAACAAAATAGGGCGATGCTCCGGTGACCGAGACGGGAGGCGGAGGCGGGTGAAGTCGGCGCCGGGGGGAGGGAAAATAGCTAGAGGAGGGCAGGACGGGAAAAGAACTGGCATTTGAATAAGCATCATCATCTAAATAAAAACAAACCCTTTCTCAGTATTCCTCTACCCTTCTACTTCATTTCTTCCACCGAGCTGGGGTGGATTCCAAATCACACAAATTTTTGCATAAGAAATTCGAAAAGGAAATGGAGAAGGGAGTTCCAAGGACGCGAGATCAATAGATAGTGCTACTTCTACCCAAAGTTTGTACCCCAATTTGTACCTCACAGTTTTGCACCAACACTTTGTGTTGGTGTAAAACTAACTTTTGTTAAATGCACCAACATTTGTGTCCGTGTGAATTTTTATTAACGCACCAACACTAGTGTCGGTGTAAACCATCGAAATGTTTGTGCAAACCTGTAGTGTACAAATGAGGTATATTTTTTGGTGTAAGTGTAGCATGGTCCATAGTGCTACGTAGCTGGAGAGTTTGTATAAGGTACATCCAGCTGTAAAATCAGGTACACTCGGCCCACTTAACCTTTAAAATGCATTTACGAACCAAGCCCAAATATTTTCATTTGCATATACCCACAATTTCACAACAAACTTTTCAAATCATCCCCCACCTTTGAAATTCAAATTCTTCTATAAAATCGAAGCATTTTTGCACAACATCACTGCGCTCGAAGTTATGGTCTGCGGAACAACATCACTGCGGAGGAAGATGACCATGCAGAAGCTTCTTCGTCGTTGAGGTACGAGATTTTTACTTGTATTGTCGTCTAATTTTCACTCTAAATTCCGAATTTATAAAATCTTAATAGGAAAGATGTCAAACCCTGAATGGAATATTTTTAAACCAAAATTGTTAAAATGCCTTGAATCTGACCCATCACAACTCCAAATCCGGAGAAGTCAGAATCCGGAGAAGTCCAAATCCTAAGAGATCCGAATTCCGGAGAAGTCAAGAAATCCGAATCCTGAGATGTCCGAACCCCATTCTAATTGGGCTGTTTAATTATCTGTTAACTCTGTAGTTTTGGGCCTAAGTATGTTAGGGTTTAGTCAAGCACTATTTATATGGGTGCTACCACAAACCCTAAGTGTTGTACTCTGTTTTGCCTCTCCATCAGAAATAAAACTGCTCCCCCTCTTCCCCGTGGACTAGCCAACACAACGTTGGTGAACCACGTTAAATCTGTTGTCGTTTTTTCTGTTTGATTCTTTGATTACTCAATACCCTATTCCGAAACAAGAAACTGGTATCAGAGCCTCTGGTTCTTCTGATTAGGGATTTTCTAAAATTCCGCACTGTTAGGGTTTCTTGAGTCAATCAAAGATGTCATCTGCTTTGAACGTGAAGATTGATAAATTCAACGGGAGAAATAGCTTTGGCTTATGGAAGATCAAGATGCGATCGTTGTTGAAGCAGCAGGGATTGTGGGCGCCGCTAACTGAAAAGGTGAATAAGGCGAACGCTGATGAAGAGTGGAAAACCCTAGAAGAAAAGGCCCACTCGGCAATCATGTTGTGCCTGTCAGACGATGTTATCATCGAAGTCGCTGATCAGGAGACAGCTGCTGCCCTCTGGATGAAGTTGGAGAGCTTGTACATGACGAAGTCTCTAACCAATAACTTGCTCTTGAAGCAACGTCTGTTTCGACTACGCATGCAGGAAGGTACACCCCTTCGGGATCATCTGGAAAAGTTAAGTAAAATTTTGCTTGATCTTCGCAACATTGATGTTACAGTAGATGATGAGGATGCTGCTTTAATTCTGCTAGTTTCTTTGCCTGAATCGTATGAGAATTTTGTTGATTCGTTTCTTGCTGGTAAAGAAACTCTATCTCTGGAAGATGTTCGATCTGCTCTCCACATGAGAGAAGATCGTCAACAGGCAACTAATTCAGCAATAGAAAATCAGGCATCGGGACTTTCTGTTACGGGTAAGGGACAGAAGGTTTTTGGAAAGAAGAAGCCAAACTTTAAAGGTCCAAATGGTCCTAAACTCGGTGACATCTGCAACTACTGTAAAGAATCAGGGCATTGGAAGTTTGATTGCCCTAAGAAGAAGATAAAGAAAAAGGACAAGAAAGAGGATGCTCACGGTTCTGCAACTATGGTAGAAGCTGATGATTCAAAGTCTGAAGAAGATCTGGTCTTGGTTGCAGGTGATCAGCCACATCAGAATGATGTGTGGATTCTTGATTCAGGAGCATCATACCATCTTTGTCCTCACAGGGAGTATTTTACCACTTACGAGCAGGTAGATGGTGGCAACGTTTCCATGGCCAACAGTGCCGTTTGCAAGGTGGTAGGAATCGGCTCAATCAGAATAAGGACGCATGATGGGATGTTCTGCACTTTGAACGATGTCAGGCATGTTCCACAGATGATGAAGAACTTGATATCGCTGAGTACACTTGACAGCAAGGGTTTCAATTTCAGAGGTGAAGGTGGAGTAATGCATATTTTGAAAGGTTCAAAGGTGGTTCTGACGGGTCTGAAACGTGGTACTTTGTATATTCTGAAAGGTACCATCGTGACAGGCTCTGCTGATATTGCATCATCAGAAGTTCCAACAAAGGATATGACAAAGCTATGGCATATGAGGCTTGGTCATATGGGAGAACGAGGGATGAAAATTCTGTCGAAGCGTGATCTTCTTTCTGGGCATCAGGTGCAGAATCTTGAATTCTGCGAGCATTGTGTACTTGGGAAGCTTCACCGTAGCAAGTTTCCAAAGAAGGGTGTACATCGGACAAAGGGGACTCTTGACTACCTTCATATGGATTGCTGGGGTCCTGCACGTGTTGAATCTATTGGAGGTCACAGGTTCTTTATGTCGATAATTGATGACTACTCGAGAATGACTTGGGTAATCATAATGAAGCATAAAAGTGAAGCATTCAAGAGGTTCAAACAGTGGAAGGGCTTGATAGAGAATCAGACAGGGA